ATTTAAAAATCTAAAGGCAGATTACTGAAAAACATGATCAATACTTCACAGTGCCTAACAATTATTAAAAGCTGCAACATGTTTCTGAAGTATCCTAGTTAAGAGACTAACTTTAAATGACCTTTGACAAGGCTCCAGCTTAAATACATATTATTTATATATATAAAATAATATATTATGTATGTTATTTTAATATTGTATAAATAATATATGATATACTATATTAAAAGACATCTCAGACATCTCAGTTAGAAAATGTCTTTCCTGCTTAAGGGTGCATTTTTAGAATAAGGATAAAGGCTCCCATTTATTTTGTGGCATCCAGGATGCAGAGAGAGAGATTTAACTGCAGGTTGTATCGCATTTATTTAGAAAGACAGCTTATTTCGTATTTGGCCTCTATGGGCATTAAGAATTTAATACTTAGTAGTAGTCTTGAAGTTTTCGGGGTGATTAGGATGTTGAAAGGCATTGTTTAGAAATACTATACATACATTAACTTGTGTCTCGTATGTTTTGTTGTGTGTATTTATTGTCATCATTAATAAATACTTAGTGTGCCTGAATTACTACTCTTTTCAACAAAGCTATGCCAGAGAATAAAGAATTAACGTGCCTCTAATTATACCAACTGCTCGGGTATATTCTAGAGAAATCATTTAACAGGTTGGGGGTTATGAATATTTATTTTATTTATTGACTAAACCATTTGGTCAACCTCTGCTTTTCACCATATGTATTTACAAAAATATATGGTCTTAAGTAATTTGGTTTGAGAGTTGAAGAAGCAAATGAGCTTCCACCTGCCTCGATGAAAGTGATCACATTATAGATAACTAACAATGAAGTGCATACAGAATTTGACTAGTTTTAGTGGATGATACCTGGCCATATGGAGGAGACAGTAGAATTCCTATAATGAACCAAGCAGGTTTTATGTCATGCCCCCAGAGGACTCGGCATTCCGCCTCGCATTTCAGCACAGTTCCCAATTAGCCTTTTACCCCAGCCTACTTAATGCTCTCCCCTGTGCTCAGTATTAGGTTTTCCTGGCTAGAGCTACCTACATCTTATTGCGATTAATTACGTCTTGGTTTTTTGGCTTCCTGATTCTGGTTTGTTCTCCGACTACGTCTCCTGTTTTTGTTTTGGTACTTCGACTATTGTTCTGGCTTAGACTCTCGGCTTACTCAAGGCTCATGGCTCCGCTTCTGATTTTGTACTTCCAAACCAGTTTGTTTTCCTTTGGCTTTCAGACCACAGACTGTTTAATCCACTACACCTCTGAAGTTCGTCCTGATTATTCTGCATAGGGTCTTCATTAATATTCTGTAACAGCAGGCACCAAATGTACCACATGCAAGTGCAGAAATTAAATTAAACATTCCAAAAGCAAATTCAGCATTAGGATATAAAAGCAGACCAAGCTCATAAAATATAGTATTCAGTTGCTGAAAAACCAAGACAGGTATTAAATACAGATCATGAATGTAGTAGAGGCCATACAGTAATTAAAATTTATTAAATACAGTAGGTGTTAAGCTGAGGGGCTGAGAGCCAATGCAAATACTTGGATTGCCCAGGGCAAAGTCAGGATGTAAGGTGCTCCCAGCCCGGGTGTAACAGTCCCCCAGTGGTGGGTCTTCACACACCCCTTGAATCCAGAATGCATACAGAGCTCATCTGCATTCTCCACAAGCAGAGTGATGGGAGGAGGATTGATATTGATCAATGTAGGGTTGAGAAACGAAACCTGGAAAGCTGAGTGCAGGATAGTGCAAGGAGATAGCTGAAGTGTTCACGTTCCAGGACCTTGTACGGGCTGATATATTTAGAAGCTGATTTTCCAAAAGGACAGTTGAGACAAAGATATTGAGTGGTGAGCCAGACTCGTTGTCCAAGAATGATGTTTTGACAATAAGTCGCACATGTGGGTCGAATTTTAAGCCTGAATCAAATATAATTTTTTCAATTTAGACTGAAGCTCAAGTACAGAACCATCTACACATAGGGTTACAGCATTGGCTTTCCACAGTTGATAGGGGGTGTCAATCAGCATGACTGCAGTCTTGTCACAGTTTAGATTAAGGAAATTTTTCATCATTCATGTGTTTATGTCGGAAATGAAATTAGAAAAAATTTAACAGCCACATCAGTGGCAGGTTGGGTATGGATGTAGATCTGAGTATCATTGAAGTCATGTGATCTTAAAAGCTGAACAAGTGGAAACATGTAAATGCTGAAAAGTAGGGGGCCCGGTATAGAGCCCTGAGACTTAACAAGTCCAATTTCAGACCTAAATCCAACAAGAGACAAAGTGACAATGATCAGTGAGGTAAAACTTATTTAAAACCATTTAAGAGCAGTGTCAGGAACTCCAAAAAGAGTCTCAAGGCGAGAAAGTGAGATATCAAAGTGTCGAAAGCAGCACTGCGATCAAGAAGACTGAGGTTAGAGAATCAGAATCAGAAGCCATTACAAGATAATTCGTGACTTTGACCAGTTTCTATGCTGTGAAGTTGTCGGAAGTTGTCGGAAGCTAGATCGTAGGAGGGTTTGTAAAGATTATTTGCAATGAGGTGGTAATTTAACGGAATTGTAACTGCACATGTCTTCTCCAGAATTGACTACTGTAACACTCTACTCGCAGGGGTTTCTAAATTCACGTTGAATAAACTCCAGTATGTCCAAAATTCAGAAGTCAGAATCCTGACAGGGCTAGTATAAGTGATCATATTACTCCTATCCTGGAGTTCTTACACTGGCTTCCTGTCAGGTTTCATGTCGACTTATGCTGAGCCATAAAGGTCTGCTTGGCTTGGCATCACAGGAACTGTCTGAGCTGCTAACGTCCTACTCCCCACCTTGCAACCTTCACTATTCTAATTCTGGTCTTCTATCTGTCCCCAAAGCCCCCACTCATGGGTGACAGGGTCTTCTCCCAAAGCTCTGGAACTCTATCCCTAAGGATAACAGAGAGTCACCTTTCCTAAACTCTTTCAAATCAAGATTCAAAACCTTCTTCTTTAGAAGGGCCTTTACTTTAACTCGTTCTGTTATTTACCCCTTTGCTCCTATCGTATTCAGTACCCCTATCTACTATCTCCTCTCATAGTGTATTTTCATTGTAAGCTCCATGTTATTATTGTATATGTTTACTGTATACCTAACAATTTACTGTTAATCTGTGGTTTGAAAGAAAGATTTCATTCCATTGCAACATGACATCATGACATGACAGCAATCATAAAACAATTAATTTAAAAACAAAACATGGGGACAACACACTTCTAAAATAAACATTCCAGAAACCTGGTATAAATGTAAGCATTAACGAAGCCCATAATCGAAAGACAGAAGCTTGTGAAAGATATTCCTACCACCTAAAATAAATTGTGAGGTTATAGTGAAACACAGTATCACCTCATAGTATCTACACTACAGACAATATTGCATTACTTAAAAAGACAGACACGGGTATTTTTCAAGCGGATGTTAAGAACAGAATTAAGTTAATCTGACAAAGCATTAATTCCTATAAAAAGGTGGAGGGGTTTGATTATTTTAAAGTATCTAAAGTATCAATGTGCTTTGAACGAACTAATGAGTAACCTTCAACATTGCAAGTCGGACATACGACAAAATGAAATGTTCTGCATAAAGTAATCACTATAACATGCTGGAAGAGGTACAAGGGACATTAAAAATATAAGAAATGTCAGTTTCAGCTAGACACAGGTCATTTTCTGCACTATCCATTTGATAACAATCATTGCATCATCAGTTGAAGCACAAAGCAGGAAAAGTCACAGCTAGAAATTACACTTTAAATGAAGAAAAGTTCAAAGTACAATTACAAACTGCCTTCCCTAATAATTGTAGTAATAACTGCAGTGGCAACAAGTGAGAGAATGCCATTAGGGTCTTCTAGCTTGTTTGCTTGTAACAAATTAAACTGAGAAATAAATCCAGTTAATATTTCATGAAAGAACCCAGTGTTTTAGCTTTGGCAACACGGCTGTGTAGCTTGTTGCTACAATCCTTAGTGTTAATAAAGTGCCCCTTGTTTTCCATTTTAATTGTTCTTTCCACTAATATGCTCCAGTTTCTGTCTCACTGTAAATTCATTGGGTTGACTTTGAGAATTTTGAATACTTGAATCATTTCCCACTGTTGTCTTCTCTGTTCAGCTAACAAAATTCAATTCATTTAGCTTGTGAAAGCATTACATTCCTCTAAATCCAAGAATGTATATGGTCATGCTTCTTTGGGGTGATTCCAGAACAGCAATATCAGTTTTACAAAGTGATGACCAGAATTCCATACAGTATTCTAAATAAGGTCTTACTAGCACATTGTACATCTTTTAACACAACATTCGATGATTTACTTTTGCATGAAGTTGAAAATAATATGTATATATGAGATTAGTTGATTTTGAGAAAGATTAATCATAAGATAATGCTAACCCATTCACGTGAAATTAAAGTTTGTCTCAAGAGCTTGGAAGGAGGGCAAGCTTAAATTCCCACCTTTAGGGTATAAATATTAATACTATAAATCAACTTGAATTTGTTTGCTTGGAAATATATAACAGATAATACAGTAATTTGTTTTTCATTCCATCACACACTTTGCATCTAAATATGATACAATCAGAGCCCTTAATTTGTGAGCAAATAACCTGGCACTCCCTTTTATTTGGAACGATAAAGAGAAATACAGTAATGAAAATACTTCCGGTCAAAAGAATAATTTATTCAAATCCCTTATTCTAAGCATTCATTGTTAAAAAAAACATACAATCTTAAGACAAGTAAGCAATTCTCATTTATGTTGGGGAAAACTTTTCTTGTAAAAATTGAAAGAATCCATAAAACTAAAATTGTTACAAAAAGAAACATGATTTTCCCAGTGTGAAAGTCGGGCTGGACTCATTGTGTAATATCCTCTTTGTAGTCCAGATACTGGGGCAGAACAGAAAAAGTATAAAAAAGTACCTGGCTGTGTGAATTCCAAGAGCTGTCATTGTTCTGTTCCCCTGCCTCTGGGGGATTTTCTCTGCGGCAGCAACTAAGTCTTCAGTGTTGTTGAACTGACTAAGGTTGAACACATGACCTATGTCGTGTCCATATTGGACAATTCCAACCTAAAATGGGATAACCAGACCAGACAACAACCTGTCATTTGAGGTCAATGAAAAAAAACCCTTTGCTTTCAGCCTTCCCTGGAAGAAATGATTAATTTATATGCCGCATATGACATGACTTGGATCTGATACAATGTCTTTCAACAAGCATTGTAATTACCTATAATATAATGAAAAACATGATCCAAAAATGTAATCTGCTAAGAATATACAGTATGAGTTACAGAAGGTTAACATTAATAACATTTTACATTAACAACTACAATTTTAACATGCATTTAGACATTTTTGTTGTTTTGCCCCACTGCAAATGCTGTTTTCAGATGATTTTTAATGTTTTCTTTTTTGCATTGTGGATCTCATTTTCTAGAGATGTGGATACAGTATACAGTGGTCTTCTAAAATAGGAAAGCATCTAAACTAACCAAGTACCCATGAAACCCATGGAGAATGACAGTAAGCTAACAAACACAAGAGGAGTTGCATTTCGGGTCTTGAGCATGGAGAAAATATACACTCTGTGGTGGTCTGAAGCTGGTTACTCAGGTTCAGACCAGTAGAAGAATACAAATTCAGCCAATGATGTACAGTTCCAAAAGTGACGCAGTTAACCACTAATTAACCACTGCTTCGGGAAGTCTGGGGTGTTCTTAACACATCTTGTGGGAGAAAAATTGAGATGGAATAACCAGATAAGGAGAGAAAAAAAGGAGAAATATTTGATTTTAATCAAAATCATAATTTCTCAATTTAAATCTGAGGAACAGAGCTTGTACAATGCATACTGCATAGAGCTACAATAAGTGACAGCTCCCTTAGGTTAGCTAGAATAACAGTGTTTCTACTCAGGATTTGCAAGCATTTGAGACAATATTTAAATTTTATTGAACACTCAATGCAAGGGGTAAAGAAGCAACAGAGAAATCACGGAATAACAAAATGTTATTTAAGAAAAAACCCGGAATCAAATGTATAAGTACAGAAAGGGGCTGCTTTAAACTACAGTATAATGAGTCAATGTAAGATGTACAGTAATTGCTCTCCTTTACGGGTCAGATCTTAGCCCTGTTTTGTGTTTACAAGTAGGGTATTCAATTATAATCTTGTATTGATTCCTTACCTGTGATTTGTTTGGGCCAACATCAATGCTTTTCAGCAGTTTTACTAAGAAGTCAATTACACTTTTCCAAGGATAGATACTATTAGAGCCATCCAGAACAATTACAATGTCAAGTGCAGTTTTACACCCTGGAATATACAATAATATACAATAGGTTTTACAAGCTTATATTAAAACAACAACAACAACAACACATGCAGTAAAATGATAATTTATGCACTTGCAATACATTTAGGGAATTTTATTTTGCAAACACCTAAATTATAAATAGATATTATGGTTCTATGAATTTTAGTAACCACAAATTATATTACTGTAGTTAAATGCCAATCTATTCAGTGTGAAAGTGATAAAATAAAATTTGTTTATTAAAAAATAAAAAATGAAAATGGTTGGAAAAAGGAAAAGTAATGGTTGGAAATACACAGGCTACAGTCATCTAGTCTTACTGAGCTAGCTGAGAAGCTGAGAAGATTAATGTGCTTGAATTACTCCTAGTACTCCTAGGACTGCAGATGGAGAAAAGCACAGAGCAATAAAAACAGCTCTTTCCTAAATTGGAAATGTTGGTTTCATTGCAGAGCAGTTTACAGTGTCTGGTATGTCATCATGTACAGTACACTAGTTCTGCTCAGTGCTCTTCCAAAACACACAGTGAGTAAACTAAACTTGTGGTTTGCATACCTTTCACAGTTGGAGCTATAGAGTTAACAACCTCAAAAGATGAACTGATATTGGAGCATATGCCCGTTGTATACAGCAGACTTCCACATTTATAGGCATATGATGGTCCACAAGCCTAAAAAATTAAAAACATTTTTTTTTCTCTAGCAATGTAGAAGAAACAAAAAAGGACTGTAATTCAACATGGATTTTGTGAATATGACCTCTATCAAAGACATGAATAGCTTCATTACCAAATGAAATAGCTTAAGTATATTCTTATCAAGGTTAGAGTTAAATGCAGAATTAATAAATCACCATACAGTAAATATCATTGATAGTGCATTATATGTTTTCCAGAGCCTGAAATTTGGAATTCAATAATAGCAATATCAAAATTTACAAATACAGTAAATTTTGTTTTTTTCAGCATAAAAATGTATTATATTGCAGTATCAAAATGTACTTAATTTTTTAAAATTTGGTTCATCTTCAGTTTGGAATCCAACATTTCTAATCAATTTCTATTAGGCAAGCCGAGAAACCAAAAGATCACTAATGTGACCCAAGCATGATGTAATGATCATGTGTTGAATGAGCCCACATTACATTCTACATTTAAAATGCACTATTAAATTCCACAGCAATCTCTGTGACTATTAAGCATCTCCTAGGCCCCGGAACCACATGTGAATAGACCAGTCAGCGGGTGTGGATATACTTTTAAGTGGCAGAGGGATGCATCACCATACTGGACTTCTTACTCTGATTGATCTCTGTTACTTTGGGAGGAAGAAATTGTTGCTAAATTGTTGTGACATTAGCAAGAAACAATTGCTGATTGCATTTGAAAATAAGAACAATTAAATAATAAATAAATAATTTAATAACATTAAAATATTTATTTGTAGTTGAAAGTGTTCTGAAAACTCTGGATCATAAAATTGAAAGAAGAATATCAGTCAGCACAAAAAGTGTAATCATTCTGAAAGACTCAAACAGTATTGATTCCCATCAGTGATCCATATTGCTCTATCAAGACCTGTTTTTTTCTAGACATTTGTCTTCACAACAAGACTACAGTCACATTCTTGGTAAAAGGTTCTTAAAGGTAACAATACAAAAAACTGATCTGTATTGTAAAGTTGTTTTTTTGCCACAATGTATATACTGTAGCTAGCTAAAAAAGTTATTTTACCAAATACAATACATTTTTATTTTTAAATATGTTGCAATTAACACTGAGATTTATTGTTAAGTTGTGTAATGAAATAGTTATTTGTCTTAGAAATAATTCTGTAAAATGGATGAAATATAACTATGCTGTACATCGGCACATGTACAGTAACTATGGTATATACACGATTGCTTGGGGTCTCTAGCTTCTCAGTTCAAGTTTGTCACCATTTTATTAATAGGTCCCAAATAAGGAATTTTCCAAATCCATGGGAATAATGATTCTCCTGGGTGTCTGTTGAAAGATTTTTGTTAGTAGTCTATTGATAACTGTAGATTGCTGTGAGTACATGTAACACAGTATAATTGGTAGAATATTATCATGCCCTGGTGATTTCTAATACCTACAGTATACTCATAATAATAATACTCATGCCTTAATTAATCTACTTCAAGATCTTCTTTTCTGTGAATGCTTGTAATTCTTCATACTCTTTTCCTTTAACTTTTATACGTTTTAAAATCCTTTTTCTCACCAGAAATCCTCCATTTGGATTAGTGACTAAAGTGGTTCCAAGGGTCATGTTTTCCTTGACTTCAGTAACATTGGGAATTGTTGTGTATTCTGTGAGAAAGAAAACCAAGTGAATAATAAACCAAGTGAATCCTGAGAAACAGGACAACACCAGCTATACTTTGTCCCATTCTGTCTCCCATAGGTATGGCAAAACATTATGTTGTTAACATCTTAATCATTAAAATGATTGATAAACAGAGATGTTCTCAGTTATCATTTGAGTTTTGTGAGTGAGAATTAACACAGATCATATCACCAGTATGTAATTAGTGTTGGTAGAACAGGTACTGTATAGGTAAATTACAGGGCTCAGTGTGGGATTATTTTTTTTTCGTTAATGGGATGTGCCACTTTCTAGGGAGTGCTGCTGTGTAGCTAGGGGACTTTGAGCAACTGTGATTGAATCCTGATAGAGAGGGAGCAGATATGCATCCATCACATTAACAGTAAGGATAATAATAGTGTTAAATTTACTGTAGTAATAGAAGTGTTAATGAGCTGAGCTGTACATGAAGCTCCTTTCAGAGCGGCAAAGGAACAAGCAGAGGTAATTTCATGTTGATATTATGTGTGAAATGTGTGAAAATGACAGATATGAGTTATTTCTCTCAAAATATAAAAAATCTCAAAATATAATTTGATTTTCTTTTAATAAAGACAGACATTCTGAAAGTGGAACATAATACTGCTTTATTTTTTACCATAAGTTATGAAAGATGCATTGCCTGTTGATGGAACTTAGAATGTTTGTTCTGCCACTGTACAGTACATCTGATACATTTAATGCACACTAGCACATCATGTCAAGAGCTATAATCTTCTCTGAGCAACCATCGATGTAATTTCAGGAATGTTACACAGAAGTAAAGCACAAGCCCAACAAATATGATATTGTTTCCTACCAGGCAGCTCAAGTTTCATGCAGCTGGAATTCCTGCCCTTGCCTACAGGGCATTTGTAGACATCTCCTGTTCTTTTTGCTGGCTGTCCAACCAAGGGAGATCCAATCAGTACCCTAAAACAGTAACAAAGAGGCATTTACAGTTTTTCAGAAACCAATGATCCCAGATATGGTTATTTATATCTATAGACGTTTAGACAAAATCTAATCTCAATTACTGTACATCGATTTCTTCTGATATCACATCTATAATAATAATAATAATAATAATAATAATAATAATAATAATAATAATAATAATACTTTGTCTTTCTGTAAAACATGCACATTTACTCAACAGCCTTGTTACCCCTGATGTCACTACAGTAATAATATTTTGTCAGAAAAAACATGTTTTATGGGGAAGGGGAGAAAAGTGGATCAACTACATTGTTCAGAGGGCCATGGGGATGACTTGCTATATGCTGTCACATGACCAGACTGGCTAAGTGAAGTGGATCCTAATCAGTTTGCAGAATCAGAGCAAGCGAGCAGGCAAGAGTTTTTGTGCAGGTCATGGAACCTTATGTTAGCTGTGCTGGCAAGCAGTTAACCACACAGTGAGGAACTGAAATGACAGTAACATTAGCAACAGGAGTTAAGCTTTGGTCATGTGTTTTGTTTTGATTAAAATTATTTTCATTGCAGATATGTACACCTCCTTCATGTTAGATCACTTCTTCCATGCAAGAAGATGAGTGGAAACAAGTCTGGCTGTGGTGATTAGCAACCCTGAGCTATCACACATGGAATAACATGGGGTTTGTTTCAGCCTTCATGGTCACATCCACTGTCAGAATTTCATTGACCAAAAATCAAAATTGTAACATGAAACAACTATTGAATACTTTAAAAATAAGAATATGGTGTGGCTTCACCAACTGTTTCACTCTTTTACAAGGAGCCCACAGCTGCTGGTAAGTGATCAGTTTTAGCCACTACTCCAATTAAAGCTACTGTATCCTGGACACTTTCACTTGTCACGTTTTGCTTATGTTATGGTGTGTGCTTTTGCTGTCCATGGGAACATGTTCCTCATGGTTTAATTGCAATATTCAGTTTCATGATGCAGATGTGTAAAATGCCAAATAACTTCATAAACATCTTGTATAAGAACATAAACAAGGCTGCTAATGAGAGAAGGCCATTTGGTCCACCTTCCTTCCATCATTAGTAGCTAATTAGTCCAAGGATCTCCTTCCAGCTGTTTCTTGAAAGAAGCCAGGGTATTGGCTTCAACAGCATTACTGGGTAGCTGTTGAAGTCAAAGTTGTTTCTTTTCAGTATTCTTTCAGCTTTACAAATGGCATCATTCCAATAGCATGTTAACAGTGGAATTAACTTCCATTCCTTTCTGCTTGTTTTGAAGAAGAAAATGAGAAAATTAAAATGCGAAAATGATTTAAAACACATGCTGAACGTGACATTAACAGTTATCATAAATGTTGATTACTGGGCTTTTATGGGAACTCTAGTACCATAGTAGAAATTTATGAACCCATATTTATGTCCCATGTGAACTTTCTTAATTAGAATGCATTAGGACAGGTTACTATACTAAGGCAATCATTTCCACATGTGTGTAGAAAGATTTAAAGAAACCATTCATTTTCAAAGGGGTGGTGAATGGTATTTATGATAGATAGATACTTTATTGATCCCGTGAGGGAAATTGCAGTGCAACAGCAGCTTAACACAGACAACACAGCCACAGTGTAACGAATTATATAATAATAGTACAATACATACAATACAATACAAGAGTAACTCACAGTCCGGACACACAAAGAACAAACTAGAACAGAACAGTACACAGAAAAATCGTATTACACACATGAATATAAATATAGATGTAAATATAGATATAGATATAAATATAGATATAAATGTATTGCACAGGTCCCTGGCATATATTGCACAAAAAACGGTTGTAAACGGGAAAAGAAAAAGAAAGAGAACAGATGTAACAGTGAAAATTAATGTGTAGTTAGACTTGTTTCAATAGAGAAAGGGGGCAGAGTCACCCAGTTTTACAATGTATTTATGTGAAGGTTTTTATATCTAAGTAACCTGGTACCAGTAACAGACTAGAGTGCCAAACATGTTTTAATTATCACTAGCCCTACCACTTAAAAATGTTTATTGTTGAATTTTTAAGCTTATTAAAGTTGTCTCACGTTACTTTTAATCAAGCTTTTTGTTGTTGTGTTTGCATAGAACTCTTATCCAGTACTGGACTGGTAAAACATATATTATATTAGTATATTAGATTTAATATACAGTATCATGTTCTACTAGCTCAAGGTGTGATCGTTGGTGAAGAGGAAAGTGAGATACAGACATAGAGTGCAATTAGAAAAGCCAAGCAGGAGGCCACAGATGGCAACTGTAAAGATTAAATCAGTAAAAGTTTGAAAGGAGACCTCTTTATGACCCTTGTTTTTGTCTGTGGCTTTTTTTGCTGTGGACTTTGAGCTGTGCATTGTAACTAACACCAGGAGGGCATTTATGCTTGTACTTTCTGGAACCCACAACCACATGTATAAATGCTAAAGTACTTAAAGAAAACAAAATTGATAAATTATATCTCCATACAACTTTAAATTAAATTAATCTGCTCAAAAAATACATAATATTTTTTTATGTTTTCATACATTATACTTTATGATTGGATACATATTCGGGTGAAATTTCCAGAATAGAAACTAAGACATTACAGGGCAGACACAAACACAGACACACAAATTCAGGGCTAAAAGATCAGGGCCAATTATTCGAGAAAGTCAATTAACCTACCAGTATCAGTATGTATCAGTACCAGAACACCCAGAGAAAACCCACATGAATAGAGGGAGAACATACAGTGCAAACACCACGCAGATAGTAATTGAACACAGTTCCCCACTTCTGTGAGGCAGCAATGCTATCCACTGCATCTCTGTGGCACACAGTTTAGAAGTTATCTGGGACAATAATTTAAACGCACTCAACAATCGATGTGCCCTTTAATAAAGAAATAAATTGCTTATATTGATAACTTACTAATGTTCCCAATAGAAATAGGTTATTATGGGTGACATATAAAATATGTGGATCTGGGAATTCCAGAACCAGAATTAGATTTATGCCCCTGTTCCAAGATATGATATAGAGATTATAAAACTGAATCCTAGAGCGCTGCAGTCCTGCATTAATCACTAATGTTCATTTGGGAACAACTCTTTATCTAATTGAACCAATTATTGTCTAATCCAATGCCTCTTAACAGGCATTCCCAGCTTTTTGGTTGTTGCATTGAAAAAAAATGTGTAAAATTTGTAGGGATGAGGCCCACACTGAACTACTGAATAAAATGGTAAAGAGGGTAGTCCTTTGTTTTAACTAGAAGGAAACAAACATAAGAATCAGTGAGTGAGTTTTGTTTTTGTCTTTTTTTTGTTGTACATGGAAAAAAAAACATTAATTACATTCACTTATTTTTCATGCCAATAAAAGTCTGTAAGAAAGGACACTAAGGACACTTAGGACTGGACTGTCTCCATCTTGTTTCAATAAACAGGACTTACTTGTGTCTGTAGCACTTTGCCTTATATAAAAAAAAATACCAGAAAGTGCACTGCAATTAACTTACCATTTCCCTTCACTGTTTTCAAACTGTTGAACACTATACCCAAACATGTCTTCTACAGAGCCACTAAATGACATGCCATTTTTCTCATCCACGTTGAATGCTGTAGCACACTGAAGTAAAACTGGAAGGAAAACAAAATAAACAAGAAAGATTTTTGACATTTATTTAGTTGTATTTAATTCAGATTTATTTTTTGGTGTCTCAAAAGAAAAATAGTGACCTGCTCTGCAATGTCATTTTTTTAAAAACAACACTAAAGGTGGAAAATATAAAAGATCTTTGCTGTAATTTATTACCGATCTATAAGATTTTCCTTAATCTCCAGTGAAAATACTGTACAATAATGAAAAAAAAAACAACAAATATATTGTCAAAACCAAGGTTGATATTTATTCTTATATAGTATGAGTATTTAAAGATTTTATCTTATTTCTTTACAAGCTGAGAAATGAAACGAGAGATCTTAGAGTTGCTTTTTTTCTTTTATGCTACCTTGTACTGGAATTGTACGAAAATTGTACGTGTTTAATGGTAAAACGTGCCTTTAATCTAAAAAGACTGACATTGGTCAATCTAAGATATTGATCATAACATTATACAATTCTATAAAATAAAATTATAGAAGATTACAAAAGGTAGCTGAATAACCAGGTAGGATGTGAGTGATTTGGTTTACAAGTTCTACACTAATATCTCATGTTTCTTTCTAAAACTAGATAAGAAACTATGGGTTAAATCAAACCTGCAAACCAACCACCAGCAATATTGTATATTAGAAACCAGTAAACTGTGACAGGTTATGCTTGCCAGAGGCTTGCTGCTTATACCTAATAAAAACCTGCTGTCAGGGGCTGGGATTCCAATTTGCCTTTGCAGGATGGGTGTAGTTTTTTCTTTAATCTGGCCCTAAACACCTTGTGGCAAATAGTTTTCTTAGTTGTTTTAGTACGAAAAGATTCTAACAGATATTACAGCACTACCGCATGCAGTATTTAATGAGGGGAGTAGGAGTAAGAAATAAAAGCTCTTATGTTCAAAGCACAGACTGAAGTGTTCAATATGTAAGGACTTGTAACCTGGTGAAACCAAAAAGTATTCTCAGATGAATGCATGCATGCATAAAGCACTGCTATATTCAAAAGGAAAACCTACAAATGGGATTTAAAGATTTTTTTATGAATTCAGCCCTTTGTATACAGAAGTAAATACTTTTAAAATTTTATTTTTTGTCACCTCTGACCCTGTTGCTGACCTTTCATCCTCTCAGACAAAAATGTTCTGAGAAAAAGCGCTCTTAATCTTTCAGATTCTTCTTTTTGGAGGCTATAAAATAAAGACCCACTATTTATAGTGTACACGGCCTCATTGTTCTAGTCACAGCTAGACCGTTCATTCCAAATAGCATGCAAAGAAATTCCTTTCTGTAACTCCTTATATTTATGATTTGCTAGTAGACATGTGGTACTTGCTACATTATTCAGCTATTTAAACAATTAGCACATTTCCATTAATTTTCCATTAAAGAATATTATGGAAAACACCCAGAGAGAGAGAGTGTTTCTTGTTAATATTGTGGTTGCACTCTGAATACAACATTATGTTACAAGATTTTTGGCTAAAAATGAAATAGTTAATTATTTATATGAACCCAGAAAATCACAATGCAATGGTTAATGTGATAACAACAAGCAGCAAGTCATAATCATATCATATTGAACTGAAACAAAGAAATAAATTATAAAAAATAAATACCAAATGCAGATCAAACCTAGATCTGTTTGTGTTCACTTTATCTATGCTGCAGAGATCTGTTTTTCCAGATCAATGTAGCAGGGGAGCCAGAGCCTATCCCTACAAGCTGGAAGTGCAAAGGCAGGCACTCCGAACAGGACAATTTTTCACAAGGCACACAGAGACACAAACATGCACATACGCTAGGGCCAATCAGCTTTCCCTGATGCCAATCAACTCACCAATATGCCTTTGGGCTGTGGGAGGAATCCTGAGCACCTGGCAGAAACTCACACATACAAACTCCACACATACAGTATAATTATGTTGGACCCTGGGCCCCAGTGCTGCATGGAAACAATGCTAACTTACTGAACAACTGCACCACCTACTATAAAACACATTTACAATAATAATGATGGGTTTATATTTGTTTTGTAATGTCTTCAGTATGTACAATATGACTGTCCCAAACACCATGGTCGGTATGCATCTGTGCTTGAAAAACACATCAGCAACAAACACTGAATACTAAGATGGTACCCTAAACTACTGTACAGTATATGATTATTCAGTATCTGTTTGGAAATTGGAAATCACCTCACAAGGTGGTTTAATCAATTTGAGTCAAATGGTCAGATATAAAGAGAGGAGCACCAGAGGTTTGCTTGTAAAATAAAAACCCTATCATGAATTCATGTGGTCAGTTCCACCTACAGTATAACATTTAACTGAGAATGTAAAATATATTGCCTTTTAACTAATGGCAGTAACGTGTTTACAGATGTCATGTCAAACTACTTCTGTCTGCTATACGTAAACATGGCCAGCGGATCTGTGTTGATGTATCACAACAGAGGTTAAAGAAATGAAAGGAGGTTACTATTGTAATTATGAAAATGTTCTTAGACAAATTAATACATATTTTTATTAGACCACTTGAAAGTGACATTTCAATGTAAGTTTTTTTATAAATTAAACAGGTTTCACATTATTTTGGCAAAGGAGTTAGTGCAACAGTCTCAGGCAGGGGTGTCATCTGGGGAACTGAAAGGGGTGGGTTTCCTGGTGGGAAAGGAAAAGATATGTTAAAATATTATGTTTTTTTTGTAAATTTAGAGCTATAAACGGGGGAGAATGAGAAAAGCCAGACAGACTTTCCTGATGTACACAGTTTCAATTTATTTGTCTTTTACCATATCCCAGGTGATCCCAGAGTTTCACTGCCAGTTGGGGAAGAAGTATGACCATCATTGGCAACACTGCATGCCTGCAAGCACCTACTGTAGGAAGCAGCAAGGGTCACTATGTTATTAAGCTCTGAGAGAGCCCTGGTCAACTAATCCCACTTTGCCCTCACCAGTGCTCAGAAAACTGTGTGCTAGTGTCTGGAAAATACCGGTTACAGATGAGCAACTTTACCATTTGAACCAAACTGCAGTCCACAAAGTAATGAGTAATGATCCGTGAAATACTGACATGCTCCACTGCCAAACTGTCTATAGTTCTGTTCCCTTGTAAATGATTATCATAATAAAATACTTATGTCATGTTCTACCAATAACATTACTACAGTAGTTCTTGTTAATGGTATACACAGGTAATAATGGTGTATTAATGGTAAGTACACAATATAAAAACAAGTTTTTACAAAAAGAACATGCATTGTGAGTATTTTAAGTCTTTAAAACTGCCTTGCCAATTGCATTTTAAGTGCTCAAAATACCAAAACACTCTAGTGTTTACTTTATTACAAAAGGTCATGTTAACGGTACTCATTGGCCACAGTATTAGCTGAGTCCCAAGTGAAATCAGGAAGTCTGCTTATAAAACAGGGAAGTCTGCAATTGTAACCTCCCAGTTTTGATTGTAGTTAGTAACTTTGATGGTTTGCTTTTAAACTGATTGAAAGTCAAAACTGTGTCCTGTCGTTTTTACTCCAAGTTTATGACCAGAGGATGACTGTTTTAGTTTTGTGTTTGAGGATTATTTAAAAAAATATATATTTCGCACTAAATGTTGCAAGGTGAGTGGGACCAACCATGTGCTAATTAGTCAATTTCAGAACTGCCCACATCCATGTGTGTTACCTGACAATGTAACTCATTGTGGGAGTGTCTCATATTTTCTTTCCTCCCTGAATCTGTTCACCATTCATCATATACTACTCATCTGTTAAGAACTATTTAGTCAGAAATTTTGAGAACATTTATTGTTTTAACAAGTTCAGGAGAGACTGAATAATGTTTTGTGCGCTGACTATGTTTGTACGCTGACATTGTTGGCAACAATGTTCTTTACATAGGGTTTTTTTTAAGACTAAGGCCTGAGCTCAGAAAAAAAGTCTGAACAAGCGAGCTGATCAATTACAACATAAGTGATTAAAAGCTGGACAAAAATCATCAGACAACAGTCCCCCAGGACAAAGATTAAGAATTACACTACAGGTATAGACAGTATTAACTGCTAATTAGTAATAAAGCTAATTACAGTTACAGTACATTATACCCCTATAGAATGGAACCTAAAACATACTGAGCATTCCTTGAGTAAAGTAAAACATGCAGCTGTAAAGCAGTAGTGTATAATATACTGTAAAGTTCAACTGAATAGCTTGGCATATATCTATGTATATCTATTGCTAGATCTGACTGCAAATTTCCAAGAAGTAGTAATCAAGCTAATCCTCAAAACTATCTCAACAACAGATTCAGATTCATAGTATCTGTTGAACTTGTCCTGAAAAATAATTTCAGTAAAAGAGATTTACAGTAAAAGCGTCCTGTGCTTTTATTTTGTTAGGCTTCAATTAGTTTTAGTAATGCTTACTTGGCTGTTTCTGAACTGATCTATTGATTGCTTCAGTAAGAGCAAATACTGCAGCAATTTAATACATAGTTTCCAAATAGCCATTGCATGATATATTTCTCCCAACCTGTTATATCAAATGCAAATGTCAAATATCAGATCAAAACATTCACCATGGCCAGTGTTGGTGGTGCTTGCATTTATTTTTGTTCCTTCACTGCAATGAATAGAATAGGTTTTGTTTAGGCGACTGCAAAAATGCTTACACTCCTTTTACTATTACAAATATAAGTATTAACTTGTACAGTGTAAGACTGTCATGGTAAAGGTTGGTTGGTTAAGGATGGTTAAGACTTTAAAGTGAATTCCTGCTCTTCGTGTCTTTGGATGGTTCCCCAGTATTCCCCAGAGCTCTACCCAGACTTCAACGTTGACAATTTGTCTGTTTGTCTACCCGACACCTTCCACTAAGGCAACCATCTCGCAAGCTTGCCTGCAGGTACATCGGCCCTTTTCGTAGTGCAGTTCACTCCAGTAACTTACTGTATTAACTGGCCTTGCCTAATACACTTAGGATTCACC